CTGGGTAATTTGGGGAAAAACAAAAATCATGCAGAGGATCGTCGATAATACTCTTGCTGTAGCTAAAGAGTGAGCCCCTCTCTCTGTTAGATTCTTGCATTCGTCATTGATTTTGTGGTCTCTGATTTGATTTTTAGTTGCACGTTTAGTGATATCTGATTTGGGATGTTTCCTTAGTTTGGATTTAAAATCTAGTCGGTTAGATTTGATTTTTGATTATGTTGCAATGTTGAGCTTGTGGATTTATAATGGAGCTTAGACTTCTTATTCCAGCTTCTGGTTTCACATTTTTCCTGAGTGTTGATAGTTACTGATTTGAGGAAATCTGGATAACATCTTTTAAGTATTCTGGTTTAGTTGTTGTGGTACTTTTGTTTACATTATGTCTGATTGCTTTTGTTGTTGGTGTTGGAGTTTGATTTATTGTAGCATTGAAGAAAAAGCTTAAGCTAACTATGCATTTGGCTCATGTGTTGGGTTTTAGTGCAGGTCAGTGAAAACTTTGACTTATGAGTCTTTGAACAACATTGCAAGATTCATTAATGGAGTTTCTGCACTTCTCTTGACCCTTTTGCCCGGAAAGGCCAATATTCTTGAAGGTCTTCACGGCTGGGAACTAAGGCCTACATTACGTGGACCTCGTTTACCACGGTGGATGCATAAGTAAAAACATCTCTTCAAACTCTCTAATAAAGAACTTACTTTTGGCTTCGTCGTGACTGACAGTAATGTAATCTCTTTTTGATTTCTGTGGTTGCAGTGGAGTCTCTTCTTTCAACCAATTCATTCACGAGCTCTCTGTGGACTCTGATACTTCAAGCTTGGAGTATTCCTCTGGAGAAGATAGCGATGGCATGTCGACACCTCCATCACCATCATCTCAAAGCTCACTTCGCTCTTGGGCTAGTCTTCCTACAAGTTACGAAAGCCACTGGACAGAGTGGATAACAGTCATAGTTTGGTGGGTTTTATTACCCGCCCGGATCCTTTTGTGGGTACCGTTATACCTTGTACGTCTTTTTGGTAGAGGAAATTCAAGAATATCGCCTACGAGCCCAGGAAGGTCACGGCATTCTTCTAGACCGTATTTTAGCAAAACCATCCCAGGGAAAGAGCATGATGTCCCTAACCGAACTACTGATAGAAGACGCGGAGTCATTGAGGTCTGTGTTGATGAACATACTAAACACTTTCTCGCATTCTTGAATTCTTTCTCACATACTTGTTCTACTTCATTTTTGTTCTATTTTACAGGATCTTCAGCTTGGTATTGAAATCTTTATCGAAGCAATATTTGATTTTTTTCACAAGGCGGCACATCTTCTTCTTTCTCCTTCAGAAGCTTTTAGAATAGTTTTATCATGGTTCTCTTTCTCAAGTCACAGTCACAGCCCTAAAGGAAACTATGGAGACGTTTCAGATGATGAAACGGTGAAGACCGCCACTCTTGGAGATAATGATGCATCCCCTACAGAAAGAACCGCAACAAGCTTATATAATACGGATACTCGGACTTGTCAAGATGTTATAACAGAGCTTGGGTATGTGAAAATGCGTAGAAAATGCTTTGTGCTTTGTTGTTTTTGGTATATCTGTTACTCAACTATTTGCTCTTATTGATTTACCTTTTCTAATAATCTTGATAGGTATCCATATGAATCTATTCGTGTTGTTACTTCTGATGGATACGGTCTTCTCTTGGAAAGAATACCAAGGTATATCATCCATTATGGTTCATTAAAGTTCCTTTAAGATGTAACCATTAATTTTCTCTCGTCTTTTGCAGACGAGATGCGAGGAAAGCTGTTTACTTGCAGCATGGCGTTTTAGATTCTTCAATGGGGTGAGTTTCTTGTTGACTTATCACGAGATTATATGAGACTTGGAGTTATTCTTTTTTTCCCTTTTTCTCATTTGTAATTTCATCTTTCAGATGGGTGTCTAATGGAGTTGTTGGATCTCCTGCTTTTGCTGCTTATGACCAAGGTCCGGACTGAAATTTTTTTATTTCTCAAGTCACTCTATGAATTATGTGTAGCAAAGATTTCACCATATATCTTAATTACTCTGTTTTTCCTTGATAGGCTATGATGTTTACCTAGGGAACTTGCGCGGTTTAGTTTCAAGAGATCATGTGAACAAAAATATCTCCTCAAAAGAGTGAGTAGCAATCATCAAACAATGGATTCGATTTCTTGTGTAGTTTGTTGTTGATGGATCCTTAAAACATGCAGTTTCTGGCGTTACTCGATCAATGAGCATGCAACGGAGGATATCCCGGCAATGATAGAGAAGATTCACGAAATCAAAACTTCGGAACTGAAACTCTACCAGCCTAATATCGAAGAGGAAGTAAACGAGGAGCAACCATATAAGCTCTGCGTTATATCTCACAGTCTAGGCGGAGCCGCTGTTCTGATGTATGTAATCACCCGTAAAATCGAAGAGAAACCGCACAGACTCTCCAGACTGATCCTGCTTTCGCCTGCCGGGTTTCACGATGACTCTAACCTGTGTTTCACGTTAATGGAGTACACATTCCTTCTCTTGTGTCCAGTCCTAGGCNGAATTGTTCCCGCTTTCTACATCCCGACTAGATTCTTCCGGATGCTTCTCAACAAGTTAGCTCGAGATTTCCATAACTATCCTGCTGTTGGTGGATTGGTCCAGACACTGATGAGCTATGTAGTTGGCGGAGATAGCTCAGACTGGGTTGGAGTCATGGGTTTGCCTCACTATAACATGAACGATATGCCGGCTGTATCTTTCCGTGTGGCTCAGCATCTTGCTCAGATTAAGCATAGCGGTAAGTTCAGGATGTTTGATTACGGTAGCAGTTCAGCTAATATGGAGGTTTACGGGTCTCCCCAGCCGCTTGATCTTGGGGAGTTTTACGGGTTGATTGATGTTCCTGTGGATTTAGTAGCCGGGAAAAAAGATAAAGTGATTAGACCTTCAATGGTTAGGAAGCATTACAGGATAATGAGAGATTCAGGGGTTGCTGATGTGTCTTACAGTGAGTTTGAGTATGCTCATTTGGATTTCACCTTCTCTCACCGTGAAGAGCTTTTGGCGTATGTGATGTCCCGGTTGCTGCTTGTCAAGCCGACGCAGACTCAGTCGGTTCATAAGAAAGGGATAAAGCTGAAGAAGAAAATGGAAACAGCCAAACCTCATCTATTAACTATGAAAAATAGGCTTTTATAGAGATTATGCCTTTCCTGGTGTCTTATTTGTAATGGTATTTTGTTCATGAGTTTGGCTTAGAACAGTGTGTATATAGATGTCATTTTGTATCTGTTTATGTCAGTGTCGCTTTTCATGACAAGTAGTTAAAGTCCATGAACTCATTCATGGAAGCAGAACTTAGTGGACTGAGATATTCACCAAAAAAAGCATAAGTTAATACAAAGGAGAAAGATATTATACAAACTTTGTACGTTACAGCTAATGTATGTCAAGGGATTGTATGTATGAGGTTCTCTACAATAAGACATATATGTATACACCTATATTTTTATACTTAATGCAGATTCAGCAAAACTACATCAAAAGTTTGGGAACACAGTATGGTAAAAAAGAAAAGGAAAGTTTGCTTGGAGCATCGACCTCAAATCCTACTCTCGAACATGGGCCAAAGTTAGATATAGTCAAACGTCGTATACAGGTAGCCGTTCTTCGATGTCTATTCGACATATTGGACACTTTTTACACTTGTCCGAACAGATTCTGCAACAAAAGATGGCACAGAAACAACATATGAACATGATATCGAGTCTGCTATGACCAGATAAGCATTCAAACGTCTAGTCTGTCCAATAAGTATTGATTGTATGAGATATAAATTGTATCGATAGGACCTCGTCAGGTATTTCCAGATGAATCGAGTGGCAAATGCAAACTTTTAAAGTACGATATGGGTACGTATTGTACCTGCAGAGAACACGGTGTCTACATGGAAGCAGTACCAAACTGATTTCTTTTTCAAAGCAAACCCTACACAGCACTTTCTCCTGGAGTAAAGACAAAGTTGAAACAGGGTTAAGCCAAAGAGAAAAGCAAAACCGACAGAGAAAATACTGAACAAAAACAGTCACGGTTAATTATGCATATACAGGAGCATGGATGAAGGAAAACAATTACATTTTGCAGTCTTTCATATTCCTGCTGGCTGAATTTTGTGATTTCAGTTTGTTCACCAAGAGCTGCTTGAAGTCTCCACACCTAGGGGGGATCAAATTAGATCGGAAGTAAACATCACTTGAGTAATACTGAACGTAGAAGACACAAGATTCAACAACAGAGAGAACCTACAAAATAAGCTCCTCAGCACTGAGTTGGGAAAGAAGCGAGAAATAAAGTTACCTCTTCAGCAAGATCTTCCTTTGGCATTTTCTTCACTATCTCAGGCGGATGACCACTGAAGGTATTGTAACTGCACACGCATATTATAGTGGAATCTTCAGCAGGTCCAATAACATTAATTGCTAAAGCAGAGAGGTTGAATTATACTACTAACCCAGATTCTTGATCAAAGTACAGTCTAGCTTGTTCCTCCCGGCTTCCTTCATCAATAGACCACCAACCTAGTAGCCTGAGCAGGTAAGAGCATCAATTGATTTTTGTTAGTATATAAAATTCCGTAAATCAAAACCTTTTGGGAAATACAGCTAGACATGTTTGTCACCTGGAACCATGGTGCAGGAAACCCAAGCAATCATGGGCCCTCGATGAAAATCTAAAATACAATCCCGGTCCAGCTTCCCCACGCAGTAAGAGGACAATCTTTTCTATTAGTTTAGACGTTGAAAAGAGAACACCGAGGCCTTGCAGTATGAATAGTGGAGAAAATAGGACTGGAATAGGTATATCCTTGGCTCTTTCAGGAGTCCCCTGGAGGTTCAAACCATTAGCTTTTTTAGAAGTGTCCAAAGACAATATGGTAAGATAGGAGACATGTGGTGTATACCTCTAGATGCATGCAAAGGACAACTTGAAATGCAATGACCGGAATTTTCAACATATGACCACCAATATCTTGTAAACCACACATTCTATCTTGGTGACTAGCCTCTTCTGAAGCAACCACAAGGCCACTGTTCCAGTCAAGATATCTAATAGTGGTAGAAGACGACCCTGTTTCTCGGGCGCGTGAGCTTCTATGGATTACTGGGTTGGACCATTTTGTACAAACAAGAAAAGCAAAGCACTCGGCAATTCTGCAGGCAAAACATTCACATATATTTAATTATCATTTCCACT